TATAAATAGTTATGTAACTATTACGGGAATTTTGATCAATTTCATTTTACTATTAAAAGTCAAAACTGTTTAAAATGGGCCATCTTTGCCACCTCTTCGCCTAAGACAATAAAATATAGCTGTAAGCATTAAAACTATAACTATTATTCCTGATACATAATCCATAACTGCAATGTAATATTATTACTAAAATTAAACGAGTCCAAAATGGGAATTAATAAAAATAATCAAATACGAAAATAGCTTTGGCATTTTGCTTATATACGTAATAATAATTGACAGAATTCCATAAGAACCTTGTATGAAGGTTCTATTTAAAAAGATCAAACATTAATAAGGTTTTATTTAGTTTCGTACAGAATATTATATCCTTAAAAATTTTTCTTATTATAATCAATATACATATACTATTGAGTGGCTTTGTTTGGGCTCTATAACAATTGTAATATTCAAATTTTAGAACACAATTGTATGAGACCAATTATTATTATTAAATAGCAATTTTATGAAAGTCGCTGAGCGGTACAAATTTAAATGATTTTTTGTATAAATTTTAGTTCAGTGATGCGAGTGAGGCATAAAACTTTTAGTACGTACATATGTTATTCTAAATTAAGTAACAATTTTTTTCGTTTCTTTAGTTTAGTTGATATGTTTTTGATAGGAGTTAGAGTAATTTATTCATCACATTTAACATTAGTTATATCATTATTATTAATAAATTAATTTTCTTAATAAAGAAAAAAATTGTTCTTAACGTTCTTACTTTTTATAAAGATTGTAATAGGAATATTGTAATCTCCACAAAAAAAAAATAATTAATGTTACTTCTTTTGATAACTTTTTGGTTTCTTCATGTGTAATCATGAGTTAAATATTCCTAAGGTTTAATAAAAATTTAAAATAACAATTATTTATTTTGTATGAAATAGCAAGAAAATCACACGAAACAAAAATTCAAATTCTTATTGCGGCATATTAAGTTTTTTTGGCATACAAAAGAAAATGTTAGCACGTATTCTATGATGTATACAACTATTTTATTCTTAACCCTTTGTAAGTAAAAGGGTCTACCTTAAACTCAGTTCAGTTTGAAATAAAAAGTTAGTCAGAGATGCGATTTCTATTTCTTATCCTGTTCAGACATTAAATTTATACATATATTAAATATTATATATGTTAAAACATTGTAATAACAGGTAAGAGTAATTTAAATAGCATTAAAACACCATAATATTCGACATTCAATCACGACGGGTGTACAATTAGCGACATCGGCATGACGTCAGAGCCACTATGAAATTTCGTGTTGGAACCTAATTTTCCCTTTAGGGAACTAACGGTCTAATGCTCTCAAATCATTTATTAACTGAAGTTATTGAAGTTATATATTAACATCAGAAGACCGTTTGTGAAAATAAGGGTGGTTCATTAATATTACACTAACCTTTAACAATTTGATATGGGTAAAGTATAACATAATGTTACCCTTATAGCTTGTAATTTTAATAATGAAATATAAAAATTTGAGCAATGTCAGTGTAAATAACGCTTAAAATTTAAGTTTGATATTTTTCATACGATTATTATTAAGTGGTTAAAATGTAGCAAAATTTTGTGACTTAATTAACAAGTATCAACCGTAACATATACATATAATATAGTTATTATACTCATGTGGAAGTATTATTGCTCTTAATTATCAATCATTAATGCTGTCAAATATTTTAATTATAATTCCCAACGACTCACCTCAACATAATTATTTAAAATGTTTTAATTGCTTCTAATTACATAAAAAAAATTGAGCACTTAAAAGAAAATGGTTGACCTCCAAACCAACAACTTTTCTAAAAATTTGTAACAAAGTTTGGTTATTTGGATTGATAGACAGGGTCTGCCAAATTGTTATCTTAAGTAGTCATATCTGGTGTCACTTGTAGCAGTCAGTTAGAAGACGATTTTTATTATACTTTAAAGAACTTTTTACTTTAAAGAAGAATTATTATTAACGATCGACGTTTATTATAAAAATAATATATATCACAGTTGAAGAGCAATTTAGAATATTATGTTTATATCAAACCGTCTTCAAAACGCAACGATTTGAACATTAGGCAACATGCCACGTATTGTATGTATGTGTGAAAAACATAGTGTTCCTAAATCTAAGCTACAAACATCATCATTTGACCGTGCGACTTATTGATTGTCATTGTAAATACCAATCTAATTGGAAATTGAATTTCAATTGGTAATTCTGTGGGAATAATTTGGTTTCACTGCAGTAATACATTTTTGCTTCGGATCATTTCATTTCAAATGAGTTGCTTTGGCTACTTTTTGCTTTAGTTACTACTTTCATCACTACTTTCATTTTTTAAGAAATAATGTTATTCTACAGTCGAAATAATCTCAAATTTCAAAGTAATTTAATTGAAGATTCCAAAAAAAACTGAGAGAAGAAGATATAAAAGTAAATTCATTCGTAGACAGAGCATATTTACAAAAAAAAAAACGGTTTATTTTTGAAGAATAACTTATTATATTATATTGTTGCGGGTGTGATATTAGTAATCATACCCAAATTATGGAAACTCGATAGAAAAGCGAGCGAGGACACTAGTTAAAATAAATCAGAAATTATGGTCAAGAGGGTCTATAAATTAGAATAGTTAGATAGCTTTAACATCAAATATTTTTTCACAAATATTGTGTGCGTCAGCGAGCATTGCAAAACATTGTTCGGTTTTTTAAAATACTAGCAATATTATTGTTGAGACCAATTGTTACATGTTTAACTATTAGATCCCGTTTATGATTTCGGAAACCAAATATACTCTGTGTTTCGGTACAGGTTATGTGCCGTCGAATTTTGTACAGGGTTAAATCATCTTAATTATTCATCAAAGAATATGCTAAAATTAAAGTCTAAGACAGTTAAGTCTATCTTAATTTCATTATATGCGAAAATATATCAGATCATCACCATAAGCCTCTCAGAGCCCACTGCTGGGCAAAGGTCTCCTCTCACATGGAGGAGGTTTGAGCATTAATCACCGTGCTTGCTTTAGGCGGGATGGTGATCTCAAACTTATAATTGGGAATTATAAGTCCAGGTTTTCCCACGACTTTTTCCTTTACCGTCTGTTAGTGTTATCTTATACTCTTAGAAATTACATATGACTCGAAAAAATCACATTGGTACTTGCCAGGTTTCAAACGAGCGTCCTCATGCATGAGAGTCAGGCTTTTAACCACTGAGCCACCATGAATTTCTGATGCTCTTATCGAACTAAAGAACTTAATAATATTTAATATGGAGTTCCAAGAAATCTTCGGGTATGTTACTATAACATACCTCTTAATTGCTATGTCCTTTAGCTGTACAACAAAATAATGAAATTTTGGAGAACAATTTATTTTTAGTTTTTCAATAAAGTGATTCTGTTGGTCAGCGGTCATCAGGAAGATGTGTTAGTTTTTATATTTTTAGCTCTCCGTATTATTTTTTTGCCAATATAATAGTGTTTCCCACAAAACTAATATCCTAAACTCTGCAGGTTTGGCACTTGTTCCATTTGATCAAATTTCGGTCTAAATATTTACCTATATACATTTGACTTTCACAATTGTATTTGGTTCACAGTTCAGGAACATTTATATAGGTTAAATATTTGATAAATTCTTTTATAAGCAATTAAAAATTCCTTTAGATCGTTTTCTATTATCCATACTCCAAATGGAGTTCAATAGAGTCCTCGAACAACTTAAACTCCAGTGGTCTAATATTTTAAAATCATGAAAAGATTTTAGAATTTTTAACTACTAACTGAACCAGTTTAAGTCTAGGTGGACAAGTTTTGTCAAGGGTGTTCAAGTTTTAAGCGAGAGAAAGTCCAATGTAAAAGTGCCAGAACAAGCATCGCTCACGATTATAATGGAATTATGGTCATATTTTTCTTAATACTTTATTTTTCCATACTGTAAAAAATTAAAACTTATATCTGCAAATATTTTTTAAAATATTTTTAAGTAATTGTTATAAATTGCTACGTTTAATTATTTTTTTCCGGCAATTCTTTTTTTTCGATAACTATTTCGAAGTTTATTACATATTATGTATTTGTATAGAACGGAACTACTGAAGTCATTATGCACTTGAATAGTTAATAATTTGAATATTGTACATATATTATAATATATACAAGTACAATGGTTATTTTAAATTTCTAAAAATAAAATCTGTAGTTAGAGTAGTACTATTTAAAAGATAAACATAAAATCTTACAGCTGTGGATCTGAATGCAGAGATTTTTTACATATTTTTTATGATTATTTTTCAAAATATAATTTTCAGATTTACAATTGTACTATAAAAACTAAAACTTCTTTGCCATAGAAACGACCGTATCTTTTTAAGTTAACTTATAGAGCAAGAGCCAGGGCCAGCCAGGCATCCCCAAATATGAAATTTGGGTCGAGGTGGCTTTGGCAGGTAACACGTTCTAAAGGTGTATAAAATTTTCTTTCACTTTCCTCTTAGTACAAAATTCAGTTTTGATATATTTTCATCGTAATAATATTAGAAATCACGCTGTAAATTGCCCGGCACTTAGTAAGGTGGGAAACCCAGCCAGGCACCCCTAAATTATAAGTAATTTTATTTGTACTTTCGTTATAGTACATATATAAGCTGATTTTTATGTATGTTACTGAGGAAAGTATTCAATTATATTTACTCAGTAGCCAGGCAGTTTCGATGGTGCTTTTACCTGGCCAGGCACACTGAAAGACTTCCGTAAGTGCGAGAGGAAGGAACATATCCTCGATGAAGTTACGAATAGATATGTTCATGTTTACATTTTATAGGTATTTAGTTACTGAGAAGACAAACTTAGTTACTTGGGACAAATTTTTCTCGTTAAATGCTTTTTCAAAAGTAAACGTACAGACGGTAGGCTCTTCTGTTTCTGAACAATACTTTATAACACAACACCTTGCTGTCGGAGAGTTTGAAAGATGCTAGAAAAAGCGAGCGGCAAATCACTGTTTGTTGGATAGACTTGGAGAACGCGTTCGGGTCGATACAACACGAATTGATGCTATTCGCGCTTAGATGGTACAACTTTCCACCCCTAGTTAGAGATATGATCGCGTCGTATTACTCAAAATTAAGGTTTTCTATAATAACTAAAGAAGGCCCTTCAAAAAGCTTGAGTTATAATGTAGGACTGTTTCAAGGTTGTTGTCTATCTCCAATTACGTTTAATATCGTTATTAACATCTTAGTAGACAAATTAATCTGTAACGAGAAAAAATGGGGTTATCGGTTTAAGGTTAATAATAAATACACGGAATCCATTTTAGCCTTCGCTGACGATCTCGCAATACTGACACGTAACCCCAAACACTGTCAAGTACTATTGGATGACTAGTGGATAAATTCTGTGAGTGGACGGATGGATTGAGGACAAAACCCAGTAAATGTCATTGTCTGTGTCTTGGTAGGCGGAATACAAGATACACCTCATACGATCCGGGACTATCGTTAGGCGGTCAATGCATTTCTACGGTTACGGAAAATGCACCATTTAAATTTCTCGGTCGTAAGATTGATAATATAGGCCGTACTCCATCTTTAGAAGGAATAGTAGATAGCTTTTTGAACGATCTTAACAAGGTAGATAGCCAACTGATAAGTAACATTAAAAAAGCGTGGATCTACGAGAATTACTTAACTTCACATTTGAATTGGCCTTTCCTCGTCTATGATTTTAATAAAACCCTTTTGTCAAAGTTAGATGCAGGCGTCATAAAGATGTTAAAGTTGTGGCTCGGGCTCGCTCTAACGGCTGATTCATCGGTGTTATTTAGGGGAAGCAATAGTTTTGGGATGAGTCTAAAAAGGCCATCGGAGCTCTATAAACACCTAAGAGTTTCCAAGAGATATATCCTGGGGAAATCCCATGATGACATAGTGACATCGCTCCCAAAAGATGAAGATGCCCCCGAGCTAGAGTCACGACTTCAATTCCATAAGCAATTTATGATAGGAGCACAAAGTAACAGAGCGGGGTTAGGATCAAATAGGAAAGTCCAAGATGCGGATATATTGAAGTCTTTTATTCGGCAAGACGAGAATGATAAATATAAGATCCATGCAATGAATTTAGAAATGCAGAACGAGTGGTTAGACATAGGAGATTTTTGCATCCCATTAGCATTAAAATGGCGCACTTTAATTTATGATTGGTCGCCAGCATTGCTAAAATTCTATCTCAATGCGTTCCAGATGACTCTCCCAGATCAGAGTAATTTAGTAAGATGGGGTAAAAGTACCGAAAAAACTTGCTATATCTGTGGAAAGGCAGTTGGAACTGCTAAGCATCTGCTGGTGGAATGTAAGGTACTCCTGGACAGCGGTCAATACTCACGTCGTCACGATAAGGTTCTAGAAGTCATACGTGAAGCGGTTAGTCTTTCGGTAGCCAGAGCGCAAAAGGAAATAACCACAAACGAACGATCAGTAGGTTTTGTGAGAGAAGGCACTAGGGCTACAAAATCAAACGTCAAGCCTTACTCCATCCTTAAAGCGGCGTCGGATTGGACTATAATGATGGACACGTATGAAAAGCAATATAAAATCCCCGAAGATATTTGTGCGTCGGCCTCCAGACCGGATATATTTTTGTTTTCGCGAATTTTAAAGCGCGTAGTGATGATAGAGCTTACAGTCCCTTGGGAAACCAACATCCCCAAAGACCATACCATCAAGGTCAACAAATATTACGAGCTCACAAACGAACTCACTCGAAATAGGTTCGTAGTAGATTTGTACGCGGTAGAGGTGGGAGCGAGAGGTATAACAGCGAAATCTCTCTACAACCTACTAAAGGACTTGGGCTTGTCCAGAACTCACATTAATGCATTCTTGGAACGTATATCGAAGGCAGCCCTAGTAGGTTCTTTTCAAATTTGGTTAGGTAGGGAGAGGAGCTTGGACAGTGGAGGTGAGCGTATAACGCGCGTTAGTTAAGGGGCCCCTTAAACCTACACTTGGGTCGCAAGTCCCAGGCACTGTTGAAGCTCCTCTCCCTGCAACGCGATGGACCCGGCACCCGCACGGTGAATCCATGGAATGCTTAGTAGTTTCGTCTCGTCTATAACGAAAGTACAAATAAAATTACTTATAATTTAGGGGTGCCTGGCTGGGTTTCCCACCTTACTAAGTGCCGGGCAATTTACAGCGTGATTTCTATTATTATTACGATTAAAATATATCCAAACTGAATTTTGTACTAAGAGGAAAGTGAAGGAAAATTTTATACACCTTTAGATCGTGTTACCTGCCAAAGCCACCTCGACCCAAATTTCATATTTGGGGATCGTGACTACCTATATTGGGTTCATCTATAGAAAAACTTTCAGCTTTTGTAAATTAACGAATGCCTGGCTGGCTCTGGCTCTTGGACTATTAGGAATTCGCTTGTTTTTCAAATTTGAATCCAGTGTACATAGAATTAGGATTTCAACTTCAACTCCTGCGGGACTTGAGAGAGATACGAGACTTTTTGAGTTACTGAAAGATAGTTGGACAAAAAGTAGTCCTACATTTTTTTTAGTTTTTATGTTGAGATACGGATCCCTAAAAAGACAATTACCATATACATATATAATGTAAGTTAAAACTACATATTAAGAATTTATTTGAATTTTAATAAAATATATATATATTTTCTGTAGGTATAATTTTCATAGCCGGCGGTATCAGACGCACGACCAATTTATTTTTGACATAATGTGATTAACGAAATTTCATATGTTCGAGACATTTTAAATTATATTATTAAGTTTCATATTAACATTTGATCCCAGATATCATAGACAGATTATACATATGTATATAAGCGATGAGTTCGTTGACTTTCAGAAAATTGTGTGATGTCAATGTCGCTGCATACTAAAGCTGTACTCATATTGAAATATTAATGAATCTTTTTCGTGAAACATAGATTATTTCAATAATTACATCAGAACGTACTTGTTTACTTGAATATTAAGTAGTAAGTTCATTTGGCTTTATTGCTTTGTTAATAATTGCCGTTAAACCCATTTCAAGACACCTTTTTAAGAGGATTCTTTGATTTTATTTTAATATTATAAATTAAGTTAATAAGAGGAAAAGTTAATTTATTAGAATCGTTGCTCCAATATAAGTAATTTTGATTAACGAAACCAATATGACGTCTTTTTAACGTGCTGCAGTATACGTTTTAGAGGTTTAGAACTCGTTTATTAGGTGGTTAGGTTTTATATATCAAACAACACTCAGTTTTAATTTTAATTTTATACAAGTTATGATTAATTCACGAGATATAGACAATGCAATCATTTTATACTTTTACGACACTTGAAGTTTAAGTTTTAATTAACATATTTAGAAAATAATGTACTGAGTTACTGAGTACCTTAACTAAATTCTTTATAATTATTTAATTATCTAATTTATTTGCGAGATTTTGGTTTGCCATCCGCAACAATATTACATTTTATTCAAAATATATTTTGAGTTTATTTTGTTAATCTGTTATTTCTTCAATTTTGTAGCTACTAGTGTAATATAAATAATATGTGTAATTAACTTTTGTAATTTTTATACAAAATCTATGGGAAAATAAATTCTTATTTTTTACTACTTGTCAATAGATCTTGAAATTGAACTATAGTTATGAATATAATATTAAAATATATAAAATAAAGATTAATTTTTCCAAACATACGAAATAAAAAGGTAGTATTGTTTTAGCCCAATATAAGTATGACATACGTAACAAATTCCTTCAGCACCATTAAAACTTAATTCAAGACTTTTGTGTTGTAAAATTTATTTGGTTTCAAAATAACTTTTGAAAGATACTCAACAAAGTTGAGTTGGATTTATACCTTCCTTTTAACTCAAGTACATTAGCATATGAATAAAAGTATTTTCTTTATTATAATTGCAAAAGAGTAATTAAAATATAAATAAATCACAAATATAGACTATGCAAAGTATTAAGGTGCGAGAAAAGTGTACTCATTTGTATCCAAATGAAAACAATAAGAATGTATGATTGGGTAACAGCAATCATACATAATATAAATATGAACTTTTATATTGAGGTTTTATAATACGTATATTTGTAGAATTTTATTAACTATATGAAAATAGCAAACAAACACAAATTTTGTTAAATTATAGTGTGTTGTAAGTCCTATTTTGTTTTGAACTATTATTTTTAACATACCAGCAGCAACGTTACAGTGAAAATTAAAGATTCAAATTCAAATAAATGATTTACCATTAAAATATAATCAACACTTGAATGTCAGAAGGCTGAAAGGTATTGGTATTTTTCTACTACGTAGTGAAATGGGTATTTTTAAATTATGGAGCCAAAATTCTGTACAGTATCATAAATATAAGGTTAACATACATAAATACATATATAGATAAAATTATTTTGAAACTTTGCTTTGACAAAAAAAAAAATTCTGTAAGATTTCTTTTAAAATTATTTTATTGTTATTCTGTTTTGTATTTTATTAAAACGCAGCCAGTGAATGAAAGTAATATAAGTTTTATCTCAGAATTTATCGTGAAACATTTTTGATTCACTCGACATCACTGGAAACTTAAAATTTTTCTTTGAATACAAATGAGTTTTATGAGAGAAGAAACACGAAAATACTGCGGAATACCTTTAGAAGCCACGCGATCCTTTATAAATTTTAGAGATATATTTATATATTTTATTTCATATATACATTGCTACATTTTATTATGACATTTATGTTTAGAGTTACATTTTAGAAAGAAGTTCCATATGAAGCGATTCATTGAAGATGATCACCTGTGATTTCCAAGCGTTCGGAGTAATATTGTTTCGGATGGCAAACCAAAATCTCGCAAATAAATTAGACAATTCTATAATTATAAAGAATTTGGTAAGAAACTCAGTACATTATTTCCTATATATGTATTTAGAATCTTTGAGACTTGTTTTAAGGCGATTTGATTTTCTAAAAGTCTACAAATTTTCTTAGTATCAACCGTCATTTATTTTAGAAGTGTCTTTTTTAACGTATAATAATCAATCAATACATTAATTAGTTATGTTATTATAATATTTATTTGTTCAGTTTGATTTTTCGAAAATATTAATTAATTTATACAGGGTGACTGGTGAATTACTATCAATATTTAAGGAGAATACTCGGTACATGACTCTCATTCGAATTATGTAAAAAAATAGGTACTTAATTTTTGACCAAATTTCCGTATAAATAAATAAAGTGTGGATACGTTCCAAGTGTTCCAAGTGTGGACGCGTGCGGCGGCGTGCGGATACAACACCACACCGCCGCGCGCGAGTGTGTGTGTGTGAGTATACCTAATCTGTAGGGTGTTCACACGATGCGTAATTAATTACATAACTTTTGGTTAACTTTATTTAGAAGTTTATTCATATTTATGTTATATTAATTTTTATTTTGTCATATATGATCGTCAAATATCACGTCCTCAAGTATCGATAGTAATTCATCAGTCACCCTGTATAATATGTATTTACTATATCAGAAATGGTATTATATATGACAAAAATAGTATAAGTTTATTATGTTCCACAACCACTTTTCATTACATATACACTATTTAAATCTCTTGATAAAGAACATTTATATGCAACTGGGTACAAATGTATTATATGTCACGTAAGCAACTATGAAAGTGTATAAAAAAAATTGTAGGTTAAATATATAAATATAAATCGACAAATTATTATAGTTATAACAATTGCTTAAGAATCCTTTTTAATTTGACCTCAAATAAAAACCGCCTCTAAATTATTAAGGCTTTCAAAACCTCTTATTGTTTGATATTAAAATTAAAAAAAATATATTAAATGTTAAATACAGTGGTTCTTTATGTACACGTTTTTTATGTGTTGCTTGAAACATATTTTAATAATAATAAAATCATATGTTTTATTTATATTAAAATAATATGTTTTTTAACACTTCCTCATATTGAGAATTATTTCCAAAAGGAAATGGTAAAATGACAAAGTTGTAGTTTATTTTAGGTACTTATTGTCCCTTCTACCTTACTCTCTCTTGTATAGTATTTAAAATATTTTTAAACAATTTTCTCATAATACTTGTAATCCTCTTATTTCGTTTTTTTTTTCTTCCATCTTTAATAGCAAAATTAAATGTCTCGATTTTTTATAACCTTGGACAATATCCTAACATGATTTTTATATCAAAATATGTCATTTTCAAAACATTAAGGAATAAAAAAGGTTTGTTAAAACTCTGAATACTATTCAGATAATGTAATTCCTGAATATTTTTTTACGGTTGAACACATTTTTGATTAGTTGGGGAGATACTATTACATAGATAACTTAGCGACAGTGGCCACTCGAGACGGTTGTAAAATTTCTCACTTAACCAACTAGCTTTGAAGTTATAAAATTACCTTTTGAATTATTAATTATGTGATTTACCTGTAATGTTTCATTTTAAGTATACCTGATTTTCTAAAATTCAATACTCAATTAATCATAAAAAACATGTCACTAAAATATCATGCATCATCATTTCGTAACATACAAATATTTGATATTCATATAACAGGAATGCAGCTGCAAATACCAATATAATTTACATATATTTATTTGTTTTGTGTTAATTAAAAAGTTACATATTATGAAACGAAAATGTTATATCAATAGAATTTCGTATCAATGTCCTATATAACTTAACTTTTTATAAAATAAGTTGTATTAGAATGAATGTAACGATTTTACCAACTATGATTAGTAAAATAATTATATATATCAATAAAATAATAACAATATAAACATGTCAATTCATAAAAAACTAAACATCTTATAGAGATCTTGGTATTCAACTGAAAAACTCTATTATTTTGGATATATTAAAATATCAATTAAATTAAAAAAAATATCTTAATAGAATTACAGCTCT